CCGGAAAAGCTGCAGTTCTATCCTTTCTTCATCCAGTTCCTTGAGAAGCATCTGGTAATGCTCTGCCTATCAACATTAAAATTTTATTTCTGGTTTATATAAGGGATTTTAAATCAACAGCATTCCCATTTCAAGTCCAAAGTGATGTAACATGTTGTAGCAGTAGCTGTAATACCAGTAAGGTGTACTAATCATAGAACTCAAACATGTAAGCCAACACTTAAATGGATTATACTGGCAAATTTCATTTATATTTTATGTATTCCTCTATCCTTTTACAATATATTAAACTATAATATATTATACCTTACTGAAAAACATACTAGATTGAAAACCTGTATAGAAGTTCATAAGAGATGGAAAATCTGAAATCTTAACATGCAAAAGGTAAATCATTCTGAGTTACCTCCTCTTTCTCTAACTTTGCTTGTTTGCGTTCTGCTGCAACACTTTTCTTCCTGTTATAATTAAACTGTGCATCCTCTTCTGCCTGCTGCATTTTTTTCTTTTTTTGTTCGTATTCTTCAGCATATTCCCATGAATTGCTGATTTGTTCAAAAAGTTGAGCTCTCTCCTTCGCCTTCTTCATTGCAATTGATTCCACTGTTCCCTAAATCAAAAATTTTTTTAAAAAAGCAAAAAAGCACTATAGATCATTATGTTCTCCACTAACTAACTTCTTCTCTGAGAGCACATAGTACAGATTTACCTATATATACATGGTGAAGAGAACTGGATGAAAAGACACTTAGATTCTAACCCAATGAAAAGTTTAGTACCAAGAGGAGTATATCACCTAGCCACCTCACCTACTTCCATGACATCACTAAATATTTTGGAATGTCAGACAGGATCTATGAAAAACACATTTAAACTAAATGAACCAGCAAAAATCAGTGAGCAGTATCAGAGTGACAAAACTAAACCTTGTTAGCCTCCTTAAAGGAACTGAAACTAAATTTCAATGAAAAATGAACTAACAACTTCCCCCTCCAGTACTTCAAAAGCAAAATAGCTGAAATCAATGAACCAGAAGACTATCTAACGCCCAAAGTTAATGGGAACAGTTTTTGTCCATACATTAGCTGCTTAGATCTTCACTGATCAGAAAGAATTTAGTCAAGTGCAGGAAATGAGTTTTGTGATTTTATTCTAATTTGTAGAGTGGGTAAATGTGCTCATCATACAGGCTACTATCACCATGAGAAACAATTTACAGGGTTTAATAAAAGGGAAAAGAAGTTTTTCCTTTGGGAAAATGGGGAAGAGAAGCCTGCAAAAACTGTCATTAGTACATGACATTTCTGACCTATGTTGTTAAATACTTGTGAACTAATAATCCAGTAGGACTTTCAATCCCTTAATCTTAAAAAAATGCTACAAATTTTCATGCATCTTGACTAATAGGAGTGTTTTAAGATGAAATTATCATTTCCTATTGATAACACTCCTAGAATTTTACACAATAAACATTTGTAAATATAGACCCATATTTTTTTAGTATACTCTGAATAACACAAGTACTCAATTTCTTCCAGCTTCTTTCTTACCAGTGCACTCATATAGACACAAAGCCCATTATTTCCATTTTGCAGTCCTGTAATTCTTGGCAGAGTTCAGGAAAAAAAACATAGCAGCTGGCAACAAGCTAAGAATGCCCTTTTATTGCAAATAGGTTTCTGTGTAATCCTACAAAATAACCTCAGAAGCTTTTGTTTTGAAGTACTTTAAATACTCACCTGAAAAATTAGACAATTTCTAGCTTTGACAAGTATGTTTATTTTTTCAAGCTCAGATATGTAAGTAGATCGGCTGACAGACTTATCATTGAAAAAAAACTCAGAACAGCTACCTAAAGAAAGAAAAAATACTATAAAATGGCAAAAACACAAAATCCATAGGAAAAGAACAAAACTAGTGGAGCAATTTAACTGAGTAATTTCCTCAACAAAGAAAATAGATTTCAATTATGCTCTTAGTCATTTCAATAGCTTAGTTTTTCTGTACAAAAACCCTAGTTGCATACTTCCAAAAGGTACTAACAGATATTTAAGAAAGTGCTCATGCCTGCAGGAAGGTGTCAGGCTCCATTTGCTAGAGCCTATACCATCTATATTCCAAGCGAAAAACTACCGATCAAAGTACAAAGCAAAGGACATATATTAATCACTTATTTAACTTTTAACTTTGCCTCAGTATGTGTTTTGTTTTCATTTATAATACTTGGTTAAAAAAAAATTCTACTGCTGGACTATAAAAATATTACAATATTCAAAGGCAATCCACCAAAATATGAAATAATATTAGGCAACTGATATTCAAAGTTGAATATTCTTGTTCTCCATTTTTTATGCATCAGACCACAGAAAACTCATACAATAGAATCTACCACCTACCACGGATAACTCTTGAAAATGTTTTTTCTTCCCCATTTTCTTCGCTATATACTATCTTAACACTAGCTGTAGAAGAAACTGGCTTTCCAACATGTGCTCCATGAATTAGTTCTCTAACACTTTTAACTCGCAAATTAGATGTCTTTTCACACATCACAAAACTAATAGCATCCATTATGTTAGATTTTCCTTAAAAAGAAAAAAAGAAAATTGCTTTGACACGGCAGAAATGAAAGGAAGTGCTTGATTAACAATTAACTAAAATGAAAATATATTTAAATGCAAAAGCCTTTATGAATTATATTTTTAATTCTGTATTTCATTGGAGAAAAAACTTAGCATTTCTAAGATATAATACACTGGCAGCAGATAATAAGCTTGCCTGTAATAAAAATAATCGCAAAACTTGTTTTTTTGTTCAGCCCTTCTGAACAATTTTTCTTACAAAGCCATCTCTAAAAGCCATCACCTAAACTGAGCGAGCAACACCAATAATCTTTACTCAGTAATTTGCTTTATATAATGCAGTGAGGTTAGCTGCATAAGCACTCTATCATGTAACTGTTTCACTAGAATTCCAGTTCTAAAGAACACAAGTACTCTTCCAGACACATTCACCACAGCAACAAAGTTCTCTGATCATACTCCTTAGATAAAAATTCTTGTAATTTTATTCTCTTTTTGCTGTTCCCCTTTAATCTCGAGTTTTTCTGTTAACAGCTTAATTATTTTCTGACTTGCTACTTCAGCAATTTTTTACTTACTTTGAAAAACATCAGAAAAGGAAGAATACTAGAAGTAAAAGAGAAAACAAAAAACTAATTTCAGAGATTACACAATAGTCACAATTTTTCTCCCAGGATTCACCTCTAAAATATACTTAGATTTAACTGGAAGAGTAACTGGGAAAAGTATCTGTAATTTTGACACTTTCAAATATGGAACAGTGGGGACAGGATGATAAAAATCTTATAATAATGCTAAATAATAGTTATTTACATTCATAAGTCTCACTTCAATTAGATAAGCAAAGAAACAACAGGATATAAAAAAGCTAAATAATAAACTAAATCATTAACAGACTGGGGAAACTAAAAACCAAATGCTAAACCCGTTCTTGTGGCTATTGGTTAGGACAGCCCTTACCTCCTATTGTACTGTCCTCTGGCAAATAAAAGATAAAAAACCATTTGATTAATGGAACTTTCAGAAGACGCAAATCAAGTTCTAAAAAGTTCCAGCACCCACAGCACAACAATGTGGAGTCACATCTACAAATGCTGTGGGTTTAACTACAGAGCAGTTACCACCCCAATAAGTGTAAATGTATATACATATACATACTTGTATCTTGCTTTGCAAGAGGCATTTACGTATATGGCAAAGACCACAAACTCAGATCAAGAAGCACCTTGCTATTATTACAGTTCACAACCCAGAGTGTTAATCTAAAACCACCTTTATGTAACCTTAGTTAGCCGAGATACAAAACGGAGTGACAAAGGCAAGGTGTGCTGCTCACAAACCACTCATCCTACAATGTCTAGCAAGAAGATAGAAAACAACTAGAAATTTCACCAGCCATCCGAATTCTGTCCTTCCACCCTGGAAAAAAAAACCCCACAAACCTATATTTTCAGTTAAAACACCAATGGTAGATCCTAAGCCTCTAAAACCGCTTGTGCTGCCTCCTCCTGAGGTGCATGTAACGAGACCTGAAGCAGGCTGGCAAAAGCCTTTACTCCCCCTTCGCAGTGCCCCCTCCGCGGACAAGCTATCCCCAGCCTCGCCCCCCCGGCCCAGCC